CATTTACTCATAATCTATGGTGCATTTACTCATAATCTATGGTGCATTTACTCATAATCTATGGTACATTTACTCATAATCTATGGTGCATTTACTCATAATCTATGGTACATTTACTCATAATCTATGGTGCATTTACTCACACTTCCTGTCTGCTCTGGCTGCGCTGCGGCCAACAGTGAGCTGCATGGTGGCACCCACTGCTATGGTCCAGAGTCCAGAGTTACGGTAGCTTCGGGGGGGCCTTATTGTCAGGGAGGCTTTATGGTCGGGGAGGTCTTGTTTTGGGGGGATGCCTTATATTTCAGCGAGACGCAAAACTGTACGTAGGTCTTATTTTAAGGGGATGTCTTACTTTCGGGGAAACACGATACTCTCCGGGAAACTTTCTGCCAATTCCGGCAAAGAAATCCAATTGTTTTAAGTATATATCTTAATTTTTCTCCTCGGATATCACCCTAGGGGTTTATCCCTGCTCTTTCCTCGGATTGTCCCTCCGTGTCTGTCCTAATTACAAGCCCTTCACCATAGATCATGATCTGGAACTGTACATCAAGGGAGCCGATCATAGCTCCTCATGTGACAGATCCCACATGGGCAGGGCAGGCTGTGAGTGAGCTCCCAGACCCTCTCGGAGGACACATGGGGTGCGGGGGTCCAGGACCCGGCCACAAGGTGTCTTCAGTGAATCACCGGCTCTCCTCTGCACCTCCGGCTCTCATTCCAGGTGCAACATCAGCTTCTTGGAGGAATGGCTGAAAGATAAGAATTTACAGAACAGCCTGGCCAAGGAAACCCTGGAGCCGCTCTCCCAAGCAGCCTGGTTGCTTCAGGTTAAGAAGACCACAGAGAGTGATGCTCAGGAGATCTATGAGCAATGTACCTCGCTGTCTGCTGTGCAGGTGACCAGCCTTGCTTGGCATCTCCCCGGGCCTTGCCCAGCAGATCGGTGAAATTGGCTTCACCTTTCCTGGCTTAGCCAGCTGTTCTTGGGGGATCATCTTTATCTCCTGTGGCCCACCCTTGAAAATCTACGAGGAGGCTTCAAAAAGATCATGGGAAAGTGGAATTAGAAGATAATGGAAATTTTCCATAAACTTTTTGAAGCCCCTTGATATTTATAAGCATTTGTTCATTTATAAATTGTGTCTGTGTTATTTCTTTCTAAGCGTTTATTAAATACTTAACTTGGGCCTATACATGTAAAATGTGTCTCACATATTTCCTGCCCACTAAACTCAGAAGAATATGGAGGCAGGGGTGCGGGGAGGAGCCAGGAAGAGGCAAGGCAGGAATCGGCGGTTCTCTCAATGCCATCTGATGTGGGATTTGCCTCAGCACCACGTCATCTCCTTTCTTGGAAATAGGCAACCCATGATTCGCAGAGCCAAACTGCACCATCATGGGACTGGCTGTGGTTCCCATTGCTTCCTGTAGCTGTTGTTTAATGGGCAAAGCTGTACCTTTCCAAGGTCTGACCCGTTGCTGTGTAACCTTTGCAGATCATAAAGATCCTCAATTCCTACACACCAATAGATGACTTCGAGAAAAGAGTGACTTCATCCTTCGTTCGCAAAGTACAGGTGAGCTCGCTCGGGTGCGCCTGTTCATTTGAGCTCCTGTGTATGATGTAAGAAACGACGACGACTTGCGTTAACGTTGTAGAAGTCCAGGGTCAGAGGACGTTCCCGGACATGCCACTGAAAGTCACCACCCAAGGACAGCAGGGGTATCGTTTCCAGAATCCACTCCGTCCTGAGGGAGAGGGACAGAAACCAAGACACCTGCACCATGTCCCTCGACACCTCTTGTTTCTTGTGGGACTTCAAGGCTGAATGGAAACAAGACACTTGTTGATGTTTGCTTTTCTTCTCCCCCTTCCCCCCATTATTTTAATCCCTAATATTTCTTCCCGAATGAACTGGGGCAGCAGTTCTCAAAATTTGGTTCAAGGATCCCTAGAGGTCCTGGAGACCCTCTCCGGGATTTTAAAGCCATCCATTGTCCAAATGCACGTTTGTATAGGGCTGCATTTCATTCATGCGCTATAACTAAAACTGCATGCCCTACAGAGGGAGTGCAGAAGCAGATGCGAGACTCTACCTGTCTTATATTCAGCTAGACAGACAGACAGACATTTTCCAAAGTAAAACAGTTCCATGCTTCCCACTGATGGCTTTGTTGACTCTGGAGACGCATTCTTTTTTGTTAAAAATATTATACTTCAACATGTGTCTGATGTATTATTAGCTTAATGACTCAAATATTTTAAAGGATCTCAATACAAAAGGTATGTTTATTGTATGAAGGTTCCTACAGTAACGAGACACGTCAGGGTCTCAGAGACCAAAGCTGCTCGGAGTCATCAAGGTTGCTCAGAGAGCAGTTCTGCTCTGCCCGTGGGGTCAATGAGAGTCGTGGATTCCACCACATCCCGCACCACCACGGAGCGGGGGCCCCAGGTTCAGAGCCAGCCACTGGGCTAAGGCAGTTAGGGTTCATGAGGACCGAGCTGGGGAGCCCTCCGGAGAGCCTTTCTTTCACCTTGGACCCGGACTGTTTAAAAAGGCCCCTGTGTTAGTCCGGGTAGACTCGAGAAACAAATCCAGGGAGACTCGTGTGTATAAGAAAGAGTTTTATATAAAAGAGCAATTATACAGTCAGAAACATCCCAGCCTAGCCCAGATCAAGTCCATAAATTGGATATTAGCCCATATGTCCAATACCAATCTATAAATTCCTCTTCAGATTCAGGAAACATGCAATGACGCTGAAAGCAGGAAGGTCAGAGGTCCCTGGGTGGAAAGTCTTGTGGATCCAGCGGTTGTAGAAACATCTCGGCACTAGCGTGGGTCTCCACGTAGCTACTTCAGCTCCAGGGCTCTAGCATAGCTCCAGGTGTCTTGTCAGCAGCAATGTCTCCCAGGGAGTGAGTGTGTGTCCCACCTCCTTAGCTCTTCCCAATCACGCTGCAACCTGATTGACAGGCTAAGCTCCACCCCTTCACTCGTAATAGTCACGAATTGACAACAGATTATGTAACGGCCACAGCCCCTTTAAAAGATTGTCTTCTCCCATGATTTGGGAAGCAGCTATCCACTGGAGATAGGGCGGGCTGCCGTGCTCTTGACTCCCGGACTTGGGAGGAAAAGAGCGCACTGGTCTCCTTACTCGTTTTTCTTGGGTTCTGATTTCAGGTGCTCCTAAACAGCCGGGAGGATTCATCGCAGCTGCTGTTGGACACCAAGTACCTCTTTCAAGTCACATTCCCTTTCACCCCCTCCCCGCACGCTCTGGAGATGATCCAGATCCCCAGCAGTTTCAAGCTGGGCTTTCTCCATCGATTGTAGCAGGAGAGAAGAAAGTAAGTCCATCTTTCTCCCCAAAGCTAAAAGAGGGGCCGATATGAAGGGGGCGGGGGCCCTTTGGGTCCAAACTGGAGATGCTTTGGAATGTGAGACAGAGGAGAAAATAAGAGTTTCACCAAATGAACCTATTACTTCTTGCTGGCCAGACCTTCTCGTGAGTGGTGGTGGTGGTAGTGGTGCAAGGTGGGTGATGGGAAGAGGTGGGAGGTGGGACGTGGCTGCTGCCACTACAATTTGTAAGAATTAACAAACACCAGCTGTGGTTGGAACGGCCACTTCCCTTGGGAATCCCAGCCTGCTTTTATTGGAATTTCTACAAGGGGCAATTTTACCCCCAGGTACCTCTTGGTCGTGGTCCAGCTAGAACTTCAGGCAGGGCTCCACTGGGAGGGCGGGGCATCGAGGGCGGCAGCATCTCCATGTTCCATGTGCAGCCCAGGTTTATCTAGAGGTCCGTGTGGGCTCCTTGTGACCACAGTAGCCCACCAACAGTCCTCCTGCCGTGTGCCTGCCACGGAGCAGAGGGCATGGCTCCCACTGAGTCTTTTTAATGCTCTATCCTAAAGATTTCTTTTCTCTGACCACTCTAATTTATAAAAGGACATCTGCTATTCAACTCGAAAGCCAGGATGTGAAGTGTTTTATGTGTAAAGTTATTTCACAGTAATACATTCCCAGCCTTGCTATTTACTGCTGTGCCAACAGAGTTGCCATGACTTTTTATTGTTGTATAGCTTTCATACGATAATTTTAAGCCACGTTTTTTTAAAAGCAGCTGAAGTGGTTTTCTCTAATCGGTAAAAATGTATTTCTTTTTTAAATTGCTTGGAAAAAAATCAGCGGATTATGCTAGTTCCCATTCTTGAGACACTTGGATTTCCCAAATGTTATGGAAACTGGCTATCCCTTGTTCCCTCAAACGATGGCATTCCCTCCCTCCTTTTAGAGGACAAGATGACATTGATACAGAGGGGCCCTGCCCGTGGGGGCCTGCGGACCCATCGCTTTCCTGAGCCGCCCCAAGAATCCCAGCGCCCCTTGGATTTCGTGCAGAGTCGCGGCCGTGGCTGTGACGTCATGACGTGGGCGCGTGCACAGCTCGTGGGGCGAACGTGCGTGACTCCGAAGCAGCATCGCCCTGCTACTACGCCTGTTTTCATGTGGCGAATTATTGTTTCAACTCCGTTTAGTTAAATGCATCGCATATGAAGAAATGAAAACTGCAACGTCTTCGCTTTTAATCAATAAAAATCAATTGCCAAGTGAATCGGATCAGATTCTTTTCATTGCTGAGACATTGCCTTTTGCTTGAATGCAGTTGCATGCCCTTCTTTAAGGGTCGTTTTTGTTTTGTTTTGCTTATAAATCATTGGGGGAGGGCTCGTACAGTCTTATAACAATCCACACACCAGTTGTATCAAGCACATTTGTACACACGTTGCCAGCATCATTTTCAAAAGTTTCTTTCTCCTTGAGCCCTTGGTGTCAGCTCTTCTTTTGTCCTCCCAGAACGTCGGTCCTGTTGTTTCCTCCTTGGGAGTGTTTATCTTGCCTATCTTATATAGATAGACATGAAAAAATAAAGAATAAAAAGGGGGTGGAGGGCCATGCATAGCTCCAGGTCTGTCTGTTGACCCTTATGAATGTTTTCCCATCAGGTCTGATGAGGGGCCATGCCCTCTGTGTTAGTCTGGGTAGACAAGAGAAACAAATTCATAGACACATGTGTAGAAGAAAGAGCTTTATATACAAGAGCAATTGAATATTGAGAAAACATCCCAGCCCAGTCCAGATCAAGTCCATAAGTCCGAAATTAGCCCATGTATCCGATACCAATCTATAAATTCCTCTTCAGATTCACGAAACACATGCAATGATGCCGAATGCAGGAAGATAAGAAGCAGTGGGTGGGAAGTCTTGTGGATCCAGTGGCGTTGTAAGCATCTCAGCGCTGGCAGGGGTCTCCACGTGGCTTCTCCAGCTCAGGGCACCAGCGTAGTTCCATGTGTCGTGTCAGCTACAATGTCTCCCAGGGAGTGAGCCTGTGTCCCACCTCAAGCGAGCTATTCATCTCCTTAGCACCTCCAAATGAGGTCATCAAGCTGCCACCTGATTGACAGGCTAAACTCCACCCCTTCACTCTTAATAGTCACAAATTGACAACAGATTATGTAACTACCAACCCTCCGAGTCTGAAGTCTGTTTTCAGGATTCCTCAGGAACTTCATTGCTTTGCTCCCCTTGCTGCTCTGTTGCATGCCCTTCGTGTCTCACCCCAGTGTGGGGGTGGAGGTAGGGGGCGGGGGTGGGGGTGGTGTTGGAAGGGTCATTCTTAAAGATGCTACAATCCGTATGGATCCAGAATATCTCATTAAAAGCATATAAGAATTTTCAGAGAGGGAATAAATTGTCACAGTGTCTCCCTGGGGCTGTCAGACTGTGCCCGGAGGAGAGAGTTGGCAGTTTGCTGATCCTCCATCATGCCCATCTCTGCCCCTTTCGGACCTCCCCCAGGCCACATGGCACCCGCTGCCCTACCGTTTCAGCTCACATAACTCAGCATTCACAGTGTTGTATGGCCCCTGCCCCGGGCTGGATGAACCGCTAGTTTTTCACTTGTTTCTTCTGCTGGCTTGTGAGCTCCTGGAGGCCAGGGACAACCCATCCCCGCCTTCATCCTGAGGCTGGAGGGACGGAAGAGAGCTGAAAGGGAAGAGTCCTATTCAATGTGGCCGGGATCGGAGGGTGGAGGTCAGCCTTGGAACAGCAGATCTGGTTTGAAGGTTAGGGTATGTGTGGAGACCGAGGGATTTAGGAGTGGAGACGTAGAGAGGGAAGTACCCACCACACAGTCCACCAGGTCTGTAAAGCTGAAGGTGGAGCGGGTGGGATCAGGACGGGGGACTCCGGGAGATATTGATAGCCTTTAGTTGCAGGTGAGTGAGCAGGGCGTGGGTTCACAGGCTCAGATTCGCACAGTGCTCAGACAGTTGTTGGGTGCTGACTTATAACCACCCTCTAGGCACAGTAGAAGTAAACACCACCCGGCCCTGCGCCACCCTCACAATGGTTATGCAGCCCTGTGCCATCCCTCACAATGGTTATGTCTGAGCCCATTGTTTCAGCCTCTGTGTCGATCCATCTTAAGGGCCTTTCTCTTTTTTCAAGGACCCTCTCTGCTGCGCCAGGCATGTCCCTCCTGATCACGTGTCCAAAGTACCGGAGACAAAGTCTAGTCGCCCTGGCTTCTAAGGAGCATTCTGGCTGAACCTCTCAGCGTAGATGTGGTCATTCTTCGGCTGCCTGTGGCATATTTACTGAGCCTCACCAGCACCATCAGTTAAAGGCATCCATTCTTGGGTTTTTCTTAGCCACTGCCCAGCTGCCACGTGTGTGTTTATGCAACTGGTCCACGGGAGTAATGCGGGGGCCGGCTAAGGGTAGACAGGCAGAAGGTTCAAGGGCAAATGAGTGACGCAGGCAGCTCTGAGTGCCCCAATCGTGAGAGAACTAACTGCAGGTGGGAAGGAATTAAGCTGAGCTGTAATGCCCAGATAAGGCGATTAGATGTGGTAAAGGCACATTTCTACCTTCACGGCCACAGCGCCAACTCCTCGCCCTTCGGCCCACCATTTCCAAGTGTGGAACTCTGGAAGGTATGTCTCCTTTAATGTTAAATTATGAGGTTCTTTTACTCATTCTAAT